AGTCAAGCACTGTGCTTAACACCCACAGTTATGCTGCCTGCTTGGCCCGTTCGATCAGCAGTGCTGTGCTCAGATCATAATCTCATCATATCCCTTGCTATGTACATTACATAGATGATACTATGATAGTTCACAATGTGTGAACACTATAATTGGAAATTTGTGATTGCTAATTGGTTACAAAACTGACAATCAGTAATCACAAATGAAGGGGGGTTTCCACAGGGAGCTGCTCTTATCAGTCTCCGTGAAACACCCTTGTGATGAAAAGAAAAAAAAAAGAAAAAGAAAAAGGAAAAAGGAAAAAAAAGGAAAAAAAAGAAAAAAGAAAAGAAAAGAAATGAAGGAAAGGAAAAAAACGGATCCAAAGGCATTCAGTTCAAGTTTGAGCAGTTAGACCAAAAACGGGAATAGTACGTAGTCTGCCCTCCGCTGTCAGGTTGATCATTTACGCGCTGATTGTTTCACCCCAAACAGTCCATTTGATCCCGGGCTGCTCAGGGGCTCTCCCCTCTTGCTGGACAATCCATCGACGCTCCTTTCCTGCTCAGGTGGCCTCTCTTCCGGCTGGGTGAGCTACCAACACTCCCTTCTTGCTAGACAAGCCACCAACTCTCCTTTTCTGCTCAAGGGGCCTCCCCTCCAGCTCAGGGGGGGTCCCTTCCTGCTGGGCAAGCCACCAACCCTCCATTTCTGCTCAAGGGGCCTCCCTTCCGCCGGCTGGGCAAACGACCAACTCTGCCCTTCCAACTCAGGGGCACTCCTTTCCTGCCGGGAAAGCCATCAACCCTCACGTCTGACTCAGGGGCCCTCCCTCCCTACCGGGCAGACCACAGCCCCTCCCGTTCTGCTCAGGGGCCGTCCCTCCCAGCTGGGCAAGCCACCACTCCTCCTTTCCAGCTCAGGGGGGCTCCCTTCCTGCTGCTCAAGTCAAGGGGCCTCCCTCCATGCTCGGCAACTTGTCTGCCCTCCTTTTCTGCTCAGGGGGCCTCTCTTCCTGCTGGGGGCAAGCTATCAACACTCCCTTTCTGCTCAGGGGGGCTCCCTTCCTGCTTAGGGGGGCTGCCTTCCTTCTCAGGGGGCCNAAGAAGGAAGAAGAAGAAGAAAGAGGAGGAGGAGGAGGACAAATCAAGTCAAAGATGATGGGGAATTATTACGTCACCTAGATGGGGCTCCATCCCAAACCAGGTTGATCCCACTCAGTGACATGAGCATCTGCAGGGGACCAATTCAAATGTTCAGACTCCTCAGAGTGTTCAGCTCAAAATTTGGAATAACATGCTAACTGTCAGCTGGCTGTGCGTCGTGGACAAGCGTCAATAGGCGCCTTCAGCAATTGATTTGGACTTACATGTCCAATTCCTATCCAATAGATGTCACCAATCGCTATCTAACAGCTATCCAATGTCCGAAAGGAGTTGGTATCCCATTGCTATCCATTTTCTATCTACCAGCTACCATAGCTATCCAACAACTATCCATCTGCTATCCCTTTCCTATCCAACAGCTATCCCTTATCCATTTACTATCCAACAGTTATCCATTTTGCTATACATTTGCTATCCCTTTCCTATCCAACAGCTATCCCTTATCCATCTGCTATCCAACAGCTATCCCTTATCCATTTGCTATCCAACAGCTATTTGATAGATCGAAACATATGGATAAGCTTATCCATGAGCTTATCCATTCGCTATATGTATGTAACTTATCCATGTCCTGACAGAAAGGTAAAACCGTGTCATCAATCTCTTGAAGGAAAGCAACAAAACTTTCTGCGATTCTATCATCCAGAAGGCTCATCTGGAGAAAGAGCTGAGCAATGAACAATGGCACGCCACCTCCCTTGTATTCGTATATCAAACGGACATCCTGTTGCTCGAAGAAAGGTGGTTGGAGATTCCTATTCCTGATTGACTGCCGCAATGCAGGGGAGAATACGAGCGCTGACACAGACAGATGGATAGTAGAAGGGGATGGACCAAAGTGAAACACACCCATCAGCTGGCAGATAGACATTGAAAAGAAGCACTTCAAATTGCGTGCCCTTGCAGTCCAGGATTGGAAAGGCGCGATTGCCGCGTTTGCAGCAGCAGCAGCTCCCCACCAACAGAAATGGAGCCATGTAGTGCTCATATACCGCCTTCAATAGCAGGTCTCCTCTTCTTTTTGCAGCGATGATCTCCTCCTCTTTTTTTTGCAACGATGATTGGGTCCAAGGGCAAACCAAATGCCTGCTCCAGTCCAATGCCGCTACTACTTAAGAATAAAACAAGGAAAGACTGCTGACGCCTGCATGTGTGTATGTGTGTGTGTGTGTGTGTGTGTGTGTGTGTGTGAGAG